CCCCCCCCCTCTCTCTCTCTCCTATTTCCCTTCCGTCTTCCCCATTCCTTAAAATCTCACCGCCCCCCCCCTCCTTCCCCCTCTCACCCGCTCTTTCCTCGATACTCTCCCTGTGTCTCCATTCTTGCGATTTCCCTCGAGAAGGCCCATACATCTCGCTAGTGCCTCTGTTAGTCCGCCCTCGCAGACATTTCTGTGTCTCTTTGTCGGGGCCGAATTCTTTTTGGATTTTACTCGCTCTCGTTTTTCGCAGTGGTTCTCTCCGGGTCGCCTCTCCCTGACTTCGAGGTCGACTGTTTTTCTTTTTCTTTTTTTCCTTTCTGTTTTTTGTTTGTTTTAAAGTAGGGTTTGGGTTAAGTTCTCTTTATTTCTTTTACATTTTTGGTCTATTTCAGATTATTTACATAATGTCTCTAGTCTCTCTCTTTCTCTCTCATTTCATTTAAATCTCTCACTCTCTCTCTCTCTCTCTCTCTCTCTCTCTCTCTCTTCTCTCTCTTCTCTCTCTCTCTCTCTCTCTCTCTCTCTCTCTCTCATTTAAATATACTCAAGGTTATTTTCCTACAAACAATCTCCCAATTTGCAATAAATTTCGCAAGTTGCAGAATGCTTCCTGTTAAAGAATGTCAATAGTTGTCAATAACCGGACTCTGATATTTTTCATTAAAAGTTAGGTGTCCAGACATGAGGTTTATGTACTTTTTTTTCTATTCATACGTCTATTTCTGAACAAAGTAGGGCGATCTATCATGAAGTTACTTTCTGAGCATTGTGCTTAATGGATCTTAAACGACAGACTAAGAGAGCGAGAGCGAGAGAGAGAGAGAGAGAGAGAGAGAGAGAGAGAGAGAAGAGAGAGAGAGAGAGAGAGAGAGAGAGAGAGAGAGAGAGAAGAGAGAGAGAGAGAATATATATACATATATAGTGTGTGTATATACACACTACATATATATATATATATATATATATATATATATATATATATACATATATTTACACAGATATGTATATGTATACATTTATGTGTGGTGTGTATGTGTGTGTGTGTATGTGTGTGTGTGTGTGTTGTGTGTGTATGTGTGTGTATGTGTGTGTGAATTTAACACACACACACACACACACACAACACACACACACACACACACACACACATATATATACACGTGTGTGTGTTGTGTGTGTGTGTGTGTATACATGTAAACAACATATATATATATTATATATATATATATATATATATATATAATATAGATAGATAGATAGATAGATAGATAGATAGATAGATAGATAGATAGATAGATATAGATATAGATATAGATATAGATATAGATAGTTAGATAGATAGATAGATAGACAGTAGATAGATGTATATATATTATATAATATATATATATATATATATATATATATATATATAATATATGTATGTATGTATGTATATATGTATATATATGTATATATATACACATATACATAGAGAGAGAGATAGACAGATAGATAGATAGATAGATAGATAGACAGATAGATAGATGTGTATATATATATATATATATAT